TAGGAGAAAGCATAGGTACAGAACCACTGCCAGTAGAGTCCACTTTATCTGAAACTAGAATAGGAAGCAAGCTGCAGAGTGCATCATGATGGCCCTGGAAAGACCTTCACCAAATTTAAGTCCCCACCAACCTCCTTCTTGAAATTCTCACCTCAGGGCCAAGGTATTTTTTCTAAGTACCTCCAGTTAAAACATGGAGTGGAAGTGGGATAGTTCTAAATAAAGTTATCAGCAATTAACACTTTGGGGTGGGTTAGTTCTCAGAGATTAGCTGACCAGCCACATAGAAGAACCCAAATGTTCCAGGATGAGAAACTTTAATAAAATTCAGTGACCTTAATTCATATACATAAGCAGCCTCAGCAGATACTCTTTCTGTTTGTCATTGTTGCAAACATGTTTTGTTTGTCCTGAACATTGTCTTTAAATTTTTTGAACCAATACTTTAAGAAAATTTACCCAAAGTCCACATTTCTGACTTCTCTTGAAAAATTATACTAGGTGCTCCTTCATGCTATAACAATTGACAGGAACTGAGCAGCAGCTTCCCCCTTCGAGAGCATGTGCTCTACAGTTCTAGTTCCAACGGTTCACTCGCCCAAATTATGTGTATGTACCTAAAGGTGTATCTAAGGTATGGCATGTGTCCTGAGCATTACTTGAAGGAAGGGGGTTGCCAATAAACAGTTTCAATGGGCTGTCAGTTTCCATCACCAACTGTGAGAGATCATTCAGCAATTTTGAGCTAATTGCCATACACCTTGTTTTCTGTAGATATGCCGCTGTATGTACCTATACCTGGCTCTCTTAACTCATTTCTGTTGCCTTTATGGCACCTGTGGTAAACTATATCGTGAAGTCCAGATTATTAGCAGAACCTTTGACCCTCATTATAGAACTGTCTCTTTCTATACCACTCTGTCCTGTTGATAGTCCATGGTCCCTGCATAGCCTGGGGAAGAAACAGCAGGATGAGGGGAAGGAGAAGCAGATGGAGGAAAAGGAGTAGAAATCTGTGCTGTATTGATCAGAATCTCTATTCTGAAGCAATGGAATTGTGAGAATGGCAAGCAAGCATTTTTCTTTTATTTCCTACGGAGCCAGTCAGCTAACCCCACCTTAGAGTCTTAGAATGTCCACCTTCTCAGCTGGGCATGGGAAGGAAAAGTCTAAGAGAACTAGCTCACATTGATAGAAATTGTGGAAGCCAGGCTGGTAAGTAAGAGAGTCGATTTCTTAATTTGAGAATAAGAAATGGAATTGCCTTTAGTCGAGTGACAAATCTGTGTTTAGCACTGTGCTAGATGCAGTGGGGCAAATAAGAGGAGACTAAGACTTGGGAGCTCTGGTAGCATAGTGGCTAAGGCACTTGACTGCTCACCAGAAGGCTGGCGGTTCAAACCCACCAGCCACTCCTCGGAAGGAAGGTTGGGCAATCCTACTTCCGTAGTGATACTGCCTTGGAAACCCAAGGAGGGGTCGCTATGAGTCGGGGCCGACTCGACGGCAAATAACAACAACAACAACAAGACTGTGGTGAGATCAGGCAGTGTTTTGTTCTGCTGTGTATGGGGTCGCTATGAGTTGGAAACGACTCAACGGCACTTAACAACAACAACAACAAAGACTGTGGTAGCATAGTGCCTAAGGCACTGGACTGCTAACCAGAAGACTGGTGGTTCAAACCCACCAGCCACTCCTCGGAAGGAAGGTTGTGCAGTCTACTTCCGTAGTGATACCACCTCAGACACGCAAGGAGGGGTCGCTATGAGTTAGGTCCAACTCAACGGCAAATAACAACAAGAAGAAGACGGTTCTATCTTCAAAGAAGTCACAATCTTATCAAGAGGGCAAGAGAGACATATGTGAAATAGAGAATAAAAGACAGTATCAGAAAAGTGAGGTCTCAGATGTAATGTAGCACCCACAACATTAGGGTGGTTAGCAAGAGATGAGATCACAGGAGGAGGAGCTATTGAAGGAACAAAAAGGGGGCAGACCATTCCACACAGGGCATCACAGGAAGGTGGGTACAGAGAGCAGTGAATGAGGTGGGTATGGCAACCTGTGAGGGAATAAAAGTGATTCGAGGAGAAATGACAGTCTGGGAATGAGAACATGGTCAGTCAGCATAGACCAGTCTCCTTAGAAAAGATTTCCACTCTGGTGTCACATACCCAGGATGTCAAATGGAGGATCACTGCTGAGCGCTAGGTCAACGATAATGGAATCAGATGGTTCCCAGAACATTTCATATCCTAGGCATAAACAGCGATATTTCAGCTCCATGACATAAGTGGGGCTGAGCGATATTCACAGGTACCACTTGATCTCAGCCAAGCCTGGCAGCACTGGCACAAAATTAAAGGAAAAGGAAGAAGAATAAAAGAATAAGATTAGAGAGGGCGAGAGAGAACAGCACAAGACATCATAGGGAATAGTCACATGCCTGCAGTCTCAGGGAATCCTATGTTACAGGCTATCTCCCCCTGCTCTAAACTATGACAGAGACTGAAGAATGCCCCTGCTCACTGAGAAAGAGTGGATTTCCCACATCTAAGCTCCTTTTTTTCCTGGGCAGACTGTGACAAATTGCTCATTTAACATCTCTCCCAACATTAGGCTTTGTGCCAGATGTTGGGATGTTGTACTTATGTTCACTCAGACTTACTTCTTGGTTAGCCTGTAGGTTTATGTTAATTTCTGAGATTTTCTTTTCTTTGTCCAATCTACTTTATGAGCCAGTTGCTCACTTCCTGCTGTCTGGTTTGTAAATACTTCCACTAAATGTTTTACTTGCTGCTCCAACGTGCCCTTGATGACCAATGTGCAGCCAGGTCTCAACTGTTCAGAGGCTGATGAAGCAACTGGTAAAGGAAACAGATTCCTCTCCCCCCTCCTCTACTTCCTCCTCTACCTCTCTCCCACTCTGTTTTCTGGCCACTTCCATGTTTGGGAAGCCCTCACTCAAGGTGGGAGGGAAGCAAGATGATGAAAAACTGTAACTCATCCATTTGTCAGCTTGCCAGTAACTGTGGGTTTAAAACAAAACAAAAGCAAGTAGCTTTGAGGGTAAAGAGAAAGAAGTTTTTGATAAAAACAAGATTTGTCTAGTCTGTGAGAATCTCAGTTATCCATGTTCTCCCCAGTTAGAATGAGTATTTGGAACTGTTTGTTTTGCCTTAAGTGTATTAAGGTCAATATTCCACAATCCTCTGGAATTCTTTGCATGCTTTGAATACACAGCTCACCTTCCATGAAGCCTCCTATGACTATCCCAGTCCTCTCATTCTCTAACTCTTGATACTACCAAATTTAAACTCTACAATGGGTCTAGTGGGAGATCTGGTGGCGTAGTACCTAAGGCATTTGACTGCTAACCAGAAGGCTGGCGGTTCAAACCCACCAGTCACTCCTCAGAAGAAAGGTTGGGCGATCTACTTCAGTAGTGATACTGCTTCAGAAACCCAAGGAGGAGTTGCTATGAGTCAGGTCCGACTCGACAGCAGTGAGTTATGGGTCTAGTGAGCTGCTTCAGTTCCTGAGAATAAGCTAGGTCCCAAAAGACACACTTTACATCCAAAGTTTTTTAGTTAATTTAGATCAGCAGATACACTCACCCAGAAATGCTCCCGAATACACAAAGAACCCCATACCTTTTACCTCTAAATGGTATTTATGCCAAGCATTGTTGTTAGTTGCCGTGGGCCTATGTGGGCAGAGTAGAGCTGTTCCATAGAGTTTCAAGGCTGTGCTCAAAGCAGATTGCGAGGACTGTCTTCTGAGGCACCTCTGGTTGGGTTCAAACCACCAGCCTTATGGCTGGTAGTTAAGCACTTAACTGTTGCACCACCCAGGGACAACAAGCATTCCCTCATGGAAAAGTCCCTTTGCTATTATTAACTGCTCCCCTAAAACTAGGAAATCCTCATTTACAAAATACTCCTTCCTGACAATAATGAATTCTCTCTACCTTAATGGGACATACAGGAAGTTGGACAAACTGTGTCTGGCCTTGGTTTTTGGTCCTCTGGAATCCCATATACAAAGTCAGTGTAACTATTTGAGGGAGTCTTCCCATCACCCCCTAGGACTTGATTTGGTGGCATGGCATGGTCTTAAAGATTACTGATTGTTTATCTTCAAACAAATATTCTTGCAGTCTCTACTGCTCAATTGGAACTGAATACAAACTACTATGTGCAAACTTTATCTAATGCTAATCTACCTAATTAAGCACCCAAAGCAAAAAAAAGAAAATTCACTGCCATCGAGTTGATTCAACTCATAGCAACCCCTCCTTGGGTTTCCAACGCTGTATCTCTACGGAAGAAGATTGCCTAATCTTCCTTCTGAGGAGTGGCTGGTGGGTTTGAACTGCCAGCCATCTGATTAGCAGTCAGATGCCTTAGGTACTATGCCACCAGAACTCCCAATTAAGCACCAGGTCAAGAAAAAATGTCCATTACTTCTCTGTATCTCTACTATGTCTCAGACAGAATTGGGCATGTTGTAATTATATAGTTTTAAGAAACAAGCTCTAGAGTCTGACTGCCTGGGTTTGAATATTGGCTACTAAAAGCTGTGGAGAGAATATTTCTCAACAAGGCTGTGATGGATTGAATGAGTAAACAGATATAAAGTGCTTAGAAAACTTCCTGGCACAGAGCCCCATACCCATTGCTGCCGAGTTAATTCTGACTCATAGTGACCCTATAGGACAGAGCAGAATTGCCCCATAGAGTTTCCAATGCTGTAAATTTTTATGGGAGTAGGTTGCCAACTTTTCAGCTTATAGTCAAGTGCTTAACCACTGTACCACCTGGGCTTCCTGGCACAGACTAGCACTCCACAAATGTTAGCTATTATGGTAAGGAGGAGAAATGAGACAAAAATGATGACTCCAATTCCTGAATTATCAACATTTGATAGTCCCTGTACTCCGTCTCTCTCCAAGCCTTAATCCTGCTCTTCTATGCTTCTCATTTTCTTGTACCTAGGTCCCCACTCTGATGATGGACACTCAGTTCTCAGAGTTCACACCGGACATCACTCCTATCATGCTGGCTGCCCACACCAACAACTATGAAATCATCAAATTGCTTGTCCAAAAACGGGTCACTATCCCACGGCCCCACCAGATCCGCTGCAACTGTGTGGAGTGTGTGTCCAGTTCAGAGGTAGACAGCCTGCGCCACTCTCGCTCCCGGCTGAATATCTATAAGGCTCTAGCAAGTCCCTCACTCATTGCCTTATCAAGTGAGGACCCTATTCTAACTGCTTTCCGCCTGGGCTGGGAACTCAAGGAGCTGAGCAAGGTGGAAAATGAATTCAAGGCTGAGTATGAAGAGCTCTCCCAGCAGTGTAAGCTCTTTGCCAAAGACCTGCTGGACCAAGCTCGGAGCTCCCGGGAACTAGAGATCATCCTCAACCATCGAGATGACCACAGTGAAGAGCTTGACCCTCAGAAGTACCATGACTTGGCCAAGCTGAAGGTGGCAATCAAATACCACCAGAAAGAGGTAAGCTAAGCTCTTTGCTTCAGGGGAAGCTTAAGCCCTTCAGAGTCCAGAGCAACAGTGGAAGTGTCAGCATTTTTGTACCACTTAGCTTAGGCCTCAAAAATAGTTAGACCCCTCAAAATCATTTGGAAAAAAAAGCGGGGGGACCAGGTTTTCTGGTCCGATAGAGCCTGGTGGAACCACTGAGACTATGGTCCCTAGCTGCCCTTCAGGTCTGGAATTGAATGCACACCTGTGGCTTCCAGCCAAACAACAGACAGGCATATGAGCTGAACATTTACCTGAGGTAGATATGCTCCTTGGAGAGAACAAGCATGGGAGAAAGAAGGGCTGCTTATGCACAGGGAGACAGCTCAGGGGGCAGGAGTGTATGGAGGGCAGACACAGGGAAGAGGTAACTATGGGGAGGAAGTGGGAGGGGAGCTGTTGCATTGTGGTAAACTGTGGTCAATGACATGAGACAAAGTATATGTGAACTGCTGTATGGAAAGTGAATTTGCTCTGTAAATTTTCACCCAAATCACAATAAAAAGAAAAAAAAATAGTTAGACCCATCCATCCAAGGCACATATAACCTCTGCATTTTTTTTCTTTATGGCCAGATAAGTTGGGGGGAAATACTGATAATCTGATTCCTTGGTGGGAAAGTGTTCATTCAACAAATGCATATTAAATACTTTGCTAGGAGTTTGGGAAACAGAAAATCTTAATTTGTCTCTTTAAGGAGGCAGCACAGTACAGCAGAAAGAGCAGGAGCTGTGGAACCAGAGTGACTAAGGATAAAATTGCAACTTACTAGCTATATGACCTGGGGAAAGTCACTCACATTTCCAGGGCATCATTTTCTCATTTATAAAATGGAGATGACAGTAGTTCCTCTATTTCATAGGGCAATTGTGGGGAATAAATGGAAAATGCTAGTACAATACATGCCACAAAAACCCAAACTCATTGCTGTAGATTTCAACTCATAGTGCCCCCTGTAGGACAGAGTAGAACTTCCCTATAGGGTTTCCAAGGCTGTAAATCTTTACAGAAGCAGACTGCCACATCTTTTTCCCATAGAGAGGTGGGTTCAAACCACAGACCTTTCAGTTAGCAGCCAAGCACTTAACCACTGTTTCACCAGGACTCCTAGATGGGGACAACAGACTATTTATTTGGTTTAAAAGAATTTGGCTTGCTGTGGCTGTCAGTAAAATAGAGGCATTAAGGTACCACAGAGTCCCTGGAAGGCACAAAGAGTTAAGAGCTCAACTACCAGCCACAAGTTTGGTATGGCACTGGAAGTGTTTTAATGTCCATTTCCATCTCTCTTCTGGAGTCAGATTCAAATGGGTTCAGCTAAGAGGTACTTGTCATCTGAAGGATAACTGACATCACCATCTCTTCATAGGTCCAGGCTCAGAGGCAAATCACATTATATTCAGCTGGTCCCTTTCTTTTAGACAAATAAAATACTATGCCTTTAAAATAAGGCAAAAATTAATATTTTTAAAGAATTGTGATGTGGGTGAAAGTTTACAGAGCATATTGGGTTTCCATTCAACAATTCATACACACTTCGTGACATTCATTGCAATCCCCACAACCTAACAGCACTCTTCCCACCTTCCCACTTCCTCCCTGTATTTACCATTTCCCTTCGTCCTTCTTTCCTATCCCTTCCTGCCTTCTTAGCTTTGTCCCTGGGAAAATGTTGCCCTATTGATCTCATACAGTTCATTGTTCTAATGAGTTGTACTTCCCTGGTATTATTGCTCACCTCATAGGCCTATTGTTTGGCTAAAAGTTGAGCCACAGGAGTGAGCTCAATTCAAGACTTGAAGGGTGTCTAAGGGCCATAGTCTCAGGGACTCCACCAGTCTCTATCAAGCCAGTAACACTGTCTTTTTTATTATTTTGAGTTCTGTTCCACACTTTTGTCTCATTCTATACAATACCTCCTATTGTGATCCCTTTCAGAGTGGTCAGCAAAGATAGCCAAGCACCATCTAGTTTTTCTAGTCTCAAGAGTCATGGAGGCTGGAGTTCCCATGGCCCATTAGTCCTTTGGACTGTTTCCTTGTATCTTTGATTTTCTTCACTCTTCTTTGCTCCATATGGGGCAAGACCAATAGTTTCACCTTAGATGACCACGCACAAGAAAAACAAGTATTTTGAAGAGATTTAAAAAATGACAAAAAGGCATCATGGAGACTGAAATAATTGCACAGTGTATGCCTTATGTTGCTGTGTGCCATCTATTTGATGCTCATTCACAGAGACCCTGTAGGATAGGACAGAATAGAACTGCCCCATAGGGTTTCATAGGCTGTAATCTTTGATGATGATGATGATGATGATGATGATGATGATTGGGGTGAAAGTTTACAGAGCAAATTTACTTTCTATACAGCAGCTCACATACACTTTGTCTCATGATATTGACTACAATTTACCACAATCATAGGCTGTAATCTTTATGGAAGCAGACTTCCAGGTCTTTTTTCCTACGGAACACCTGGTGGGTTTGAACAGGTAACCTTTCGGTTAGCAGCTGAGCACTTAACAATTGCACCACCAGGGCCCTTATACGGTATATTGTATTTTTGTACATGCAATAGAGTAGAAGTAGTAAATGGATAGGCTGACCCTTGAGTGTCCTTGTCCTTTTGCCACTTAATTTTTGACGATTATTTTACTGATCCTAAAGTTACTAAACCTCACTTTTCTCTTCTGAAAAATGGGGATAATAACAGGAGCACTTACCTCCCCAGAGAAATGTAAAGCTTAAATGAAACAGGTGATGTAGTTATGCATAGCACAGTGCTCCACATACTGAACTTACTGAATTAAGTGTTAACTGCTATCATTATTAATATACATTGTTACACAGAGGGCACCTATAGTATATGGTCTAATTCTGTGTATTTCCCAGGTCTTCTTAGAACATAAATTGCTTCCAGGTGATAAAATGGTTAATGAAAACAGAAGCGTTAAACAAAAATAGATAATGCAGAATAAAAGTTTCCATTCCTTACTTCATTGGATATAATTTTAGGCTTTGACACCCCTGAAAATTGACAAAGCATTTATTTTCAAACAATTTCACTGCAATATTTCATCAACTTCATATTATTGATATCTCCCAACTACTTTTATCACTTGACCTCCTCTACTCATATCATCTTTATTTCCCAGTTTAAGTTACTGCTCCATTTGGAAACCATTGTGCTGACTTCCTTGCTCTTATGCAGATCTGGTTGGTATATGACTATGGAATCACCATTGGGTTCTACAGTTGACCACTGAACAATGTTCAAAGTCCGTGTATAACTTCTGACTCCCAAAAAACTTAATAGCCTTACTGATAACATAAACAGTCAACACAGTTCTTGGTTTACACTTAGAAGATTTTCACACGAAGACACTCACATACATACACAACAGGTAAGTTTGTTAACTGTATGGTGTGATGATTATTTACTATTCATTAAGTGGAAGTGGATCATCATAAAGGTCTTTATCCTCATCGACTTCACATTGAGTAGGCTGAAGAAGAGGAGGATGAAGAGGGTTGGTCATACTGTCTCAGGGTTGGGAGAGGCAGAAGAAGAGGACATGGGAGGGGACGCAGGAGAGGCAGTATAACTTTACAGAAATACATCATAATTTCTGCCTGACTTTTTCCTTTTTTATTTCTCTAAAAATGTTTCTATATGGTACCAATCTTCCCACCCTTTGCTTTAGTTTCAGTGCCCTTATCAAACAAGGGTTCATGTCATAAGAGAAGTCAAAAGCAGTCTTGAATAATGAGAACCCTTTTGCCAAATTGTCTAATATAAGTTTGTTTTCTGGCACAATTTGTTTGCTTCTTCTACACTGGTTTTGAAGACTCATCTCCATAAAATCATCTTCTGTTTATTCTGCTGGTGGGTGTCTATTAGCTCTGGAACATCTCCAAGATTCATATCTTGAAAAAAAAATCCATGTATAAGTGGACCCACACAGTTCAGACCTGCGTTGTTCAAGACTCAACTGTACATTAATTTTCCCAAAAACTTCATTAAAGTTCTCATCATTTTTTCCTCATGTTTCAGTCCTTTAAATTTCCTAAAACTTTGTCTCCTTTTTCCCTTCATAAATATCTCTTATTATCACTGTCACAGAGTATCTCTACACTATTATATGTTCATGCTGTATTTTTCAGCTGTCATTATACAAACTTGAATGTGCCAAGAGATGTATTTCCTTTTGGTCTCTTGAATGAAGCATTCACATAGTCCAAAATTTGTTCCTAGATCCATACAAAGTTTAAGGTCACAAGCGTAAAAAAGCCACATTCTTAATCATTTATTTTACCATAGTATGCAATACACTTGATCACAACTTTTTCAATACAAACTCTCCTAATGTTGAATTTGATGCAATTGGACATACCAACCTTTTCTTTGGATGCAAATAAATTAATGAACCTAATTTTAACATCCCATTATATTTATGGCAAGTGAACTCAACTTTTTTTGCATGTTAGATAGAATTCCTCAAGTTCTTTGGAGGCATAAAGCTTTTGTGTGCTAACTCGTCAAGAGCAAAAATATATTGACATCTTAAGTGGATCACATCTCAAGCTCTGGTAGAACACATTCAATCTAAAGGTTGCACATTGGTTGCCCCCAAAACAACTTGGGGGAGATATTTTAAAAGGCCAGTTTTTCCAAATGACCTTCAGGCCCTGAAGAAGGTTAGTAGGAGAAAGGACGTGTTATCTCCCAGGACCAGAACGGATCAAAAGGGAAACAAATTATAGATGAGAAGGGAAGAACTGAGATAAAGAGGAAATTTGTATTCTTTTCCACATTTCATTCCATGGTTGATTCCAGTTGAACCACCAGGTTTTCTAAATCCTCACTGGTAACCAACAATGCAGCAACTCATGCCTAGAACTTGAATCCTCTTATGAAAACAATGGAAGGGAGTTAAGACCAGGGGAGCACGTGACATCCGAACAGATAGGA